AAAAAAAAAAAAAAAAAGTAAACAAAAAATATGCCAATCACTGCTTGTTTTTAGGACACAGTGGAGAAATGTTTTATGGGAGCGGCTGGAGAGATCAACAATGGGTGATAAAAAAGGCCCATGGCCTAGGTTGGCGACCTCCATTGCACTTGGGAGGGGCACCCGCCTAAGGCCGGCCCAAGTGGTCGAGCTTCATAAATTGTGGTAGTGGGGGCCGCGCGAGGGGGCCTGCGTTCGCGCGGCCCCGGAAAAAAAAATAACAATACGAAAAAATTTTCAAATAATTTTTGGAAAAAAAATTACATCATTCGTCCACTAAATTTATCTCATTTGCACTTTCGTCCTTTATTTGTTATGGGTTTAAGTTTGGTACACTATTTTTTTTGGCAATATTCGTCCAAATCGAGTTTTCAGTGCTCATTTTTGCCGAAAATGCTGATGTGGCTCCCAATTGCATCCCATTTACTATTTTCTGGTGTGATGTGACACCAAGTTTCGACACCTGGATTAAAATAATTAAAAAAAATATGAAAGGTGATAAAATTAAGAGAAAACACAATTCTTGGATTTCAATTCGGTGATATGAACCAAAAATTTGAATTTCACGTAAAATCGTTACTAGGATATTTTCCAAATACATCCATCATAGGTCGGAAATGGTGATGGAAAGAGATAAAAAGCACTTTCGATTTCTAATTTTGGTTTTTGACTTATGCTCTTAAACAACCGCTATGTTTGGTAAAATTAACTGATAAGCTAACAGATAGTTGATAAGCTACCTTATAGTTTATCAATAATCTTGTAGCTTATATCTTATGACTTGTAGATGAAAAACTAGTTTATATGATAAAAGTGTTTAGTTGAATTAGTTGATAAGTTAGCAGAAATAAAAATTCAACTAGCTTAATTGAAAAGCTACTTAAAGAAGCTTAATTGAAAAGCTACTTAAAGAAGCTTATCAAATAAGCTCGAGCTTTCAAAAAAATCTCGCCCTACCAAACGAGACTTATTTGAATACAATGAGCTTATAAGCTAACTAAGTAAAACTATAAGCTAGCTTGTTTGTCTACCAAACATAACCAACATGTGATCCCTAACATGTGGCGTTGTGTGGCTCAACATTTGTTTATAACGTGGATGATGGTATAGGATTACTAAAAAAATATGGAGTCGTGTGGTCCAAGGGATGACAAATATTGAGGGGAGCTGCATTTTCTCATGAAGTACACAAAAAAAAGAAATGACACTATGTTAATTGATGAGTATTTGCTCTTATAGAGCCCATGAGAGCATGTACAATGTTTTGGTTCTAATTATGCTTACATGACATGTAAATAGACTCAAGTCTTGGATGACATGGACAAAAATTTAAAAAAAGTAAAGAAATTAACTCTAATTCAAAGAAACTAAGTCTCTACTTGGGTCTAAAATAGACTCAAGAGTAGACCAGGTCTAATTTTCTTGCTGCCACATCAGCATCCCAATTCAATTGCATTTGCATTGAAGTATATATTTTTCTAGACCGAGTCTATTTCCTATGTGGCCTATATATTTTTTTGAAAAAACTCAAAGCATTGTAGATGCTCTAAGTTACGGTTTCCATGCTATTTTTATCAAAAACATTAGGATCTCCTAAAGTACGATGTCATCTCAATCTGTTCCAATGTTCTAAACAACGCACTCCATTAAAGGTATTTAATGATACAATCATTGTTTTGATTCCAAAAAAATAAATAAATAAACCATTCTTTTTTTTTTTTTAAACGATAGATTATACTCCTCAAAATGGTGACTACAAGATAAGAGCCCGAAGGCTAAATAGTTAAACAATAATTGGAAGAAGCACCAACAGAAGTGTCCTAAACTAAAAAACTAAAACACAAGGAAGAGGAGTCCAAATTTCCGACATCGATAAAAAGCGTTGATTCGGACGCTGGGCGCCTAATCCTTACAAAAACTAACAACTCCCATAAGGGGAGACTAACTTCTCCAACAAGTGGAGTATACCTACTCCAACCAGTGGAGAATATAGTCCCGCTCACCTGCCCACGGTGGGCAGTGCCCACCACTTTATTTTACATGAAAAACGTATTCTGAGAATACATTTTTCAATTAAATTAATTAAAAAACGTATTCTGAATACGTTTTTCATATAAAACAAAGTGGTGGGCACTGCCCATCGTGGGCAGGAGATCAAAATTTGTGGAGAATAATACCCTAACTAACTAAACAAAACCTAAACTACTACATACCCTACTCAACGCGAGCAACCCGCAACTGAAACACAACCCAACCCACAAGCCAACAACCGCAACATAAAAATAACTCACATTCAAAACCTAGAGAGCTACTGAAACAGACTCAAGAATTAAAAACTCCATAAAAAACCGGCTAGAAAGAACCGACATGAAGGTAAGCCTCAGTCCAGATCTAAGATCCTGAACTCACCAATCGGGAGAAGAAGAGGGTTCAAGGGGATATGCTCGAAGAGTTGCGCCTAAGGAACCTAAGCATGTTCCCTCGGAGGGGAACCGACCCGGCGACGCAAGGCCAACGAGGGAGTGACTTACTTGAAATAAGACGACGAACTAGAAGCAAGAAAGCCTTCTATCGTCCAGCATGAGACCGACGAGACGGCGGCCAGAAACTTGGTCAAGAGAGGGCTATGCAGCTGTAGGCGCCGTTGACCCTCTCCCAAACAAAGCAGCAGGTGGGCGGGGAAAGTCTCCTGCCTCATTCGCGACCAACGCTGAGGGGCGGCGGACTGGGGGCTACGAGCTACCGGCAGGAGAAGGGGGGGTCGTGGCAAGAAGAAAAAAAAAAAGGTTGGAGACGGCCGAAATTAGGGCAGAGGGAAATTGGGGATGGCAAGAAGATGGCCCTAGCTCCTCTTTCAATTACACTGGTAAGTTATCTATGGCAACATTAATGCCCTCAAGCAAATTTTTACCTTGTAATTTTCAGAATAGACCATTCGATCTAGTAGTTTGTGTATTCTACACAAAATAATTTTGAAAGTCATTGCTACTCGACAAAATAAAGATTTAAGCCCTCTCATACTAAACGAAATCACTTCTGTTGGTACTATGCTCTATTAAAAAGGTCTAGCATTTTATCTCTTATGTGAATTTCTTCATATGCTTTGCTCAATCATTATATAGTAAAGCCCATTAAACTCAGACCCTTTGGGAGACAAAATTTCGAAAAAATACTGAAACATAATACCTCAATTCCTTTCACAAGGTAAAAAAGGCCTTCCCCACCTAAGTATCTTTCGGAGCCAATGTCAAAAATTCAGAGGAATATGCACCATCCTCCATCGCATAAAAGAACAATAAAAACAGGCAACCCGACCCAAAATAAACCGAAAATCGCTTCCAAATAAAGATAAACAAGAAAATAAAAAAGAAGATATACACAACGAATTCATAAAATCACAAACCTGTAATTTCTTTATCAAATTTCGCCCTCTTTCCACTCTGAACCTCCGGAACACCACCAGCGCTCACCCTCTGCCCACCCGGCACATCATGCTGAAACGAGCAGTCAGCCCCATTCCTGCATCCCTTTGAGCTATTGAAATAAATGCATGGCTTCATTATCTTGGGCTTCATATCCCTGCCGGGCCTCGCCATATGCTCCTGCTGACCCTGATGCCCAAACGGCACCGGGCCCACTCCACTCTCCTTCCTCTCCCCTCCATGCTGCTGAATCAGGCTCTTGTAATAGTTCACATCCCTTGGCACTGGCGGGTGTGGGCCTCGACCCGGGCCCACATCAGGCACGGCCCGCGGAGGATAGTACGGGCCTGGTTGGGGCAGCACCTGCCTGGGGCCCACGCCGTGATCGACTGGATTGAACGGGCCGTTTTGTGGGGGCCTCGGATTTGGAACGTACTGCATGCTGCTCGCGGAAGGCACGTTACCATGCATGCTGGAAAGGGGTGCATTTTGTTCTGCGGTGTGTGGAAGGGTAATTTGGGAATTACTGCTGCGGCTGGTCATGAGGTGCTCGATCATTTTGGGGTCGCTGAGGATCTTGATGAGAAGGCTGTGGTCGATCAGATTACTGTTGTTATTATTAGTACCGTTTGAGATGGCGGCCGCTAGGGCCGACAGAATCTCGGGCTCGACTTCATTGGTTGGAGGATTAATGGAAATAGCACTATTGCTACTGCCACCAATCGCGAGATTACTGTCGATTGAGGTGTCTTCATCCTCGATTGGGGTGATGGGGACCACAGGGGTTTGTCGATTGTTGATGGTTGGTTCTTGGATTCCCGGCAAAACAGAGGGGCTGATCGAGAGCGAAAAAAGTTGGATTTTTAAGGTACAAGAATGAAATATAATTTTTTTTTTAAAAAAAAAAAAAAGGAGAAAAAGTTGAAAAATAAAATAAAATGAAAGGATAGACATCGAACTTTGGAGGGATGGCCGACAGGCGTGGATAAATAGCTTCAAGCACTCTCATCTCACGTTTGTTCTGAATTTCAATTTCTTCGCTCTCCTCACCAGTTACCACTTGCCAAGCAATATTAATGGCAAACTGCATCAGAGGAGAATGAAATTAATGTGCATTAGAAAAAAAAAAAATATACATCAATAGCACATATTAGGAAAATACGAAAAGAAACTCGTTACAAATGAACTTAAAAAAAAAAAAAATTCTTTCGGAATTTTACGTAAACAACAGATAGGACTTTTCTTACGGAGCCCTCCTTAACAAATTTAAGGATAAACTGTGAATTACATGGCCCACCAAATTTAACCATGTAATATACATGGATGATGAATCATCAATCGAGCTCAATTATCAGGTTTCATAGAAAAACCGAACTTTCACCGGCATACACTTGGAAACCTCGATTAGACAATGTCATAGAGAAAAATAATTATAACAATCAGAATAAGTCATACTCTAAGAGGGCATTTCCATTTGGTCAATGGTATTTGAGACATCTTTGCCATCCAAGGATTAGCAGGCTGGATTCCTTCAAAGCCCGGGGGCAAATTGTCATCGGGCCCCACGACGCCACTTGTCTGTGCTGACCGGAATGGCTTTGCCTGGAGATGGTCATGAGTTCCCATTCCAACTTGTGAAGGAGAGTCTTCTGAGAGGAACAGCCTTACCTATCAAACTTAAAAGTATTAGTCTAACATATAACAGCACCCAGGTCAAATCTCTTTAGTCTGTAAGTCTGTGATCTACAGACTGAAAAGACGGAGCAAAATATTCAATAGCTGAATATTTGATCCCCTGTTCAAAGATATACTTTATTTGCAACCTGATAATAAGATACTTGACAAGTTAAGATATCTACACTCTGCCACTAATATTTAAACAATCCCACACAAGTTAACCATGCATAAGAAACTGGAAAACACAGACACAACTGAGGAAATTTGCTTTAGCCAGAACTGGCTTCAAAAGAAAGGCTAATTCAGCATAAACCTGACTCACAACATTATTACAATCGATTCACAAAGGGTTTCAGGAAAAAAAAACAATTCCCAAGGTGACCATAAATGGAGTTGACGCAAATAATGATTTATACAAGATAACGTAATTCGTGTTGTTGATATGTTTACAGACCATCAACTGTACAATGTTTTCAATGTCCTTCAAATTCCAAGAAGCAGAATGTGGTTATAGAAAACGCATAACACTTATCACTAAAAGAAAATAGAATGTAGTAGAAAAGAATGAGATCTAAATAGTTGTGACTACTGAGTAGTCAGATATCAATCTATCATATTGGACTTGGACATATCAGATGGCAAAGCATAATACTTCAACAGTTACCATATTTTTATGCACTAGTTTAGGTAATGCGCAAGACCATAAATGTGATCTGAGAATAAAGACAACTACAATAATCATGTAACCGGCAGTTCATTTTGGGATAGCAAAACTTCTCTGGTTTTAAGGTCTAACAACTCCGAGAATCATCATGAAATAGAACAGATAACTAAACTCGAGTAACAGATTTTAGTCAAGACAAGTTGAGCAAATAAAATTTCAATTTGCAATCAAAATGTCAAATTCCAACACATGAAGGTTTTTTCCACATTTTCAAAATTATTTTATACTTTAAGAAAGCCATAGAGAACCATAAAGACTACCATACCACACCTGTAACAAAATTGAAGAACAAATTATATAAGAGTCCATGCTTTGGTTTTGTTACTCAACAGACACAATAGTATGAGTGCTCTTAGCCAAAAAAGGGGCCTCAACAGATACTTTAAACTTTACTTCAAACACTGGTGACACTGCTGTAAAATGCCAAATGTATCCTTTCTCCCAGTTTTAGCACAATTTTTTTGTCGTCAGACTCTTCATTGTTTTGGTGGTTCACAGCTGATATACCTTCTTTTCAAATATATATACTTTCCAAAGTTCACCATACTTAGGCCATCTCATGTACCTCAGACAACCCATTAACTTCTGAGTAAAAAATGAATGAATGGATTCTTTACGCCAATGGAAGCCCTTACTCTAATTTCATAGACATGGCTGCTGTAGTGTCATAGATGATTTTCATTTTCATTTCTCTGGTCTAGTCATTGTGTATCAATTCATAATAACCAATTAAAATTCCATCCAGATAACTTATCCTAAGGCTTCAAAAAGCAGAACCAGTGGGTTTCGCTAGTGGGTTGCAACTCAACTATACTGACCCTACACATAATATTGTTGTTCACTAGTGGGTTTCGCATGACATGAACATCACACAGTTATAAACAGATGACCAGACAAACTAAAAAAATGATCAGAAGGGCAAAAATCTTCCAAGAGATAAATCTTTTCTACTGCTCCAACACAAATCACCAATATTCAATTCCTTATTCAACCCAACCAAAAGGTAGAGATGCAATGCATGGATAAGGTTGGAGAGGAGACAAATGAATCTGGCTTCTTTATCTCGAACTAAACTTGAACTTTCAAGTCATCAATAGATGCACTATAGCACAGTACATTACCTAATAACTGAAAGGTGATGGATACTGAACTTCAGAAAACTACAACTTTCAACTCATCAATTTAATGATTTCTGACATTTTCCATATCATTTAACAAGCACTTTAAGAAAAATGAAAATCCAAGAATACAAAAACCTTTCAAGTTGCAACCAATTTTATATTGTTATTTAATCATGATGAAGCAGCCTCTAGCTAGTTTTTCGTCAATCAGACAACAACAGATGGAATCCAAAACATCTTATAGAACAAATTATTATACCAATTACTTAACCAACTTTAGACTCTGTCGGAAATTAAAAAGAACTCGACAATAATATTATTTACCTTCAAATGAATAAATGACACGCAGCTTTGTGAGGATATACCTGACAAAGATTAACATTTGAGGCCCAAGTAACCCTTTTAGATATCTCTGAACTTCCCATTTTAATCAATCAGGTAATCCGTAACTCGATTCTCAAACAAATGGATTTATATCATATAAACTCAAATTGCTTTGTAATCAAGTTGCCGATTTCCAGGAAAGTAAAGGCCTGAAAATCCTAATTAAGAACCACAGATGACAGAACCCTTATTCATCTTGCCTTTTCTGTAATGTCCTTCACTGCAACTTATTTTTCCAAGTAAAAATCTTTTTCCAGGGTGCTTTATATTCAGAAATTGGACACAAAGGCCCTTTGTGAAATTGGACTTAAAGGTTGGGAAATTGGACAGGAATGCGTGATGCAACCACCCATTTTCATTTTTATTTTCCAATAATACTATACAAAATGCCTACTGAACACTAGTGTCGCGATGCATTTAATCAATTTAGGTAACGGTTGGTCAATAAACCAAGAATTAATTAAATCTGAACTCTAAAGATACTTTCTCAATTCAACAAATATAAATCAAATTCTATTAAAATCAATTGCATAAATAATTAATGTACAACATGGACACATCATATTTTGTGAATAAGATTTCAAAAAAAAAAAAAAATTATACAAATATAGTTCATAACAATATTAAATTGTTTTCAAGAATTAAACATAATCACTGTATTTACTAGTTAAACAAATTTCAATTAAAAAAAAACTTCATCATTGTTTTTTTACACAGACCTGAACAAACAACACACATGATGATAGGGAACTAGGATATAGACTTCCTAGTGCAAAACTAGATGTATTTTGTTAAAAAATAAACTAACAACTGGAATTGTCATCCCTTGATGGATAATAAAAGTATATAATACAGAACGACATTTATGTTTAGCCGTGAAAAAATTTCATGCAGCATTGCCTTAAGGCAAGAAATCTTTCTTGGAATAACAAAGGAACCTAAGGTAAACATGCAAAAACAAAAAGCATCAACTTTCAACATTTAAAAAGTTTCTTGATTAAGGCCAAATTCACTTCACATCATACAATGGATCAGATAACAATATGGCAGATGAATATGTATGATAACTCACGGAACATAACCTGAAGAATATTTTAACCAAATTATATAAAAAAAAAGTACACACAAGAACCAAGAGATATTTTCTGAATTTACCAACTCAATATCGCATATTGGAAGTACTAGAGAACAACAAAGACTAGACGTTATCCCAAAGGTTTAACCAAATACAAAAACAGTAAGTGCTCAGGTATTTAATATATTGATGATTGATCAATGTTACTCAAGAGAATCTTTCATTTTAGTGATCTTGGAAGCTTCCTGATCACTCTTCAAATATGACGATGTAAAAAATGCGATACTTTCACCCAGTTTTAACGGCAAATATTTTTCATCTTACGGGTTCTACTAGGTTTCCTCAAATGGATACTTCAAACCAGACACTTGTCACCTATCGATAAGAACTTGTTACTTTCTTTACACCTGGTGAAGCCCTCACTCATCCGCCATAAATCCATCATTACTGAACACTTACTCTAGCAACAAATGCTCGGTTAAAGTTGTGAATACAGAACTGTAAATGACTTCCCATATCGCAAAACCAAAAGTGGACTTTCAAGTGATTATTAGATGCATTTAGGAGAAAAATGACAGGATTCAATATATCATTTTCCACTCATCTTTATAGTTTCCCCATAATATTAATATGAATACAAGCTGTATTTGGGCAATTCCACGTAAAATTACATTGCCGGAACCGACGACTACATTCAAATTAACATTCTATTAGATATAAGAAGAAATTTGTGACAATCTTGGAACAAAATGCACTTCAATTCCTCCATTCATTGGAGTAACTGGGATTTAACATTTTTTTCTCATCCGTTAAGAAATTCACAGTGTAGTTCTTAAGGACATTCAACAGGAACAAGAAAATTAAAGTAAGGATTTTTACAAAGATATATACCTGACAAAGATTAACATCGGTGGCCCAAGAAACCCTTTTTGATTTCCGCGATTCTCCCATATTTAAACAAATCAAATAAACGTTGATTCGATTCTCAAATATATATGGATGTATTCATACATATATATCTTATAAAACTCAATCTGCTTTCTTTATAGCGATTAAAAAAGAAAAAAAAATGGCCGATGATGTCCTATACTCAAAGTCTCTAATAAATGAAAAACCCTAATGGCCGGTAATGTGTGGCCAATCGCATTTCCGATTGCAGACAGCCGGAGAAGACGACGACGCCCGGTGAGATACAGAGTGACCGATTGTCCGAGAAAAAGAAAACCCTAGATAGGATTAGGAACCCTACTCGATTTATACTAATTATCACTGGTCTTTTGTAGTAATTTTTTATTTTGAAATTGGGAAGAAATGTATAATTTTTATAAATAAAAAATGATTAAATAAAAACAGGATCAAAGGAAAAGTGGATCTCAGCAGATGTGGCCAACGAGCCCGAATATCTATTTTGGGCCCAATCCGTAGAGTTTGAGGTTTTATAAACCCATGAACCAGAACATTTGACAATTCTGGTTTCGGTTTAAGGGCCAAAACTCGGGCCGGCTCACGGTCGGCCTGGCCCGTCTGGCCGCGGAGCTCGAGAACACAGACCCGGCCCAGCACGGACCTACACTCGTGCTGGGTCATTGGCCCGGTTGACCGGACCGAGTCGTATTTGGGCTGGGTCTGTAATTTAAAAAAAAAAACGATAGAAAAAAATATAAATAAATAAATAAAAGGGACCATCGACCTGGCTTGGGTCGGGTCATGAAATTGATGACCCTTAAACGACACATCTTAAATCCGGGCCGACTCCGGACCCGTGGTCAACTGATTTGACCGGGCCGAGCTGCCTTTAGTCATGTCTACTCATCGGCTTGAGCCCGATGAATAGGGTGGAATTAATAAGGTAGTTCGATTAGGTTATTTGCTAAAATTTTCTCATTTTTCTTGTTTGGTTTCAAAAAACGATTCTCGATTTTCGATTACGTATAGAAATACCTACTAATATGAATGGGGAGCATCATACGTTTATACTCTTACAGTAATGGGCTTGACACATGACCCAATTATTAATTTCTTACCAACAACAACAACAATATACTCAGTATATTCCCAACTGGTTGGAGTCTGGGAGATCAGTTGTACGCAGGCCTTACCCTTATAATTATACAAGGAGGTTGTTTCCGTAGCGACCCAAGGTGCATTGCGTCGTTTGATATATTTTTCTTTTTAGAAACTTTACTAATAGAAAAAGCACTAGAATTTAATTGAGTCAAATTGATCTAGTCCATTATTAGCACTATGCCAGAAGAATTGTCAACAATGACTCTTCCAGCCCCATTTGAAAAATCAAATACGTAAATATTTTTTCTATATCTATATCTATATATATAATTGTTGGCATATATCATTTAATAAAAACTTATTTAATAAAACCTCTAAAGTTTTCCCTCTATTTTCGGTTACAAAAGTATCATTAATATTTATTTACTTCTCACATTAATACATCCTATTAAGTGTAATCAGTATTATTTTATTATATTATATAATAGTTATTGCTAATATCAACTAATAATAACTCACAATAGATATAAATTACATAATTATAAACAATTGTTTCAAGTTATTTATTTTAATATCAATATTATCTTCTTTTTTTTTGTATCTCATGAAAAAATTTCTTTAAAAACAATTAGTAAATTGTTTTAATAACATAATCAAACAACTTTACAATTTTATAAACAATTATTTTTTAATAATAATAATAATAATAATAATAATAATAATAATATATAATTTCTAGCTTAGCATTTAATTTTATATATTTAATAAAACTTTAAAATTTTCTATCTATTTCGGTTACAAAATTTATCATTAATATTTTTTTACTTCTCACATTAATAAATCCTATTAAGTGTAATCATGTATTTTTCTATAATATCATATAATAGTTATTGCTAATACCAACTAATAATAATTCACAATAAATATAAATTACATAATTATAAACAATTGTTTCAAGTTAATTATATTAACATCAATATTATATTTTCCTTTCATTTGTATCTCATGAAAAAATTTCTTTAAGAACAATAAGTAAATTATTTTTATAGCATAGTCAAACAACTTTAGAATCTTATAAACAATTATTTTTTAATAATAATAATAATATAAATAATAATAATAATAATAATCGAACTGTTATTATTTAATGATAATAAACAATTATTCATAATAATAAAATCATTAATTTATTTTTCCTAATAATTAAATTTTTGAAAATGTAATATGTACATTATCTAGAATTTTAATATTAACTCTCAAATATTACTTATAATATTTTATGTACATCTGTGCAAGTGCACAGGATATCTACTAGTATATATAATTGTTGGTTCATGAGCATTTAATAAAACCTATTAAATTATACCTATGTGGCAGTACAATTTTTCCCTCCAAAAACTGTTACTTTTTATTTGTTTAACTTCTCATTTAATTATTAGATAATCAACACACTAATCACTTCAAAATTACAAGAATCATTTTAAACTTTTGATTTACTTACAATTGACCATATAATGTGTTGACTATTTAACGTGATTATATTTTATTGTTGTGGTTACATTTAAATTAACTTCTTTTGGAAAATTTAAAACGTATTTGAAATTCCTATAAATAATAAATAATTCACAAAAAAAAATACATACCAAAATATACATGACATCCAATATGATATACGCAATTTTAAAAAGAAAAATATATTCTAAGTCCTTTTATTATAAATTTGGACAGCAAAAAGTGCAAAAAAATATTAATAATCATTATATGTATACAGATAACTCGCAATACTTTATTTATATTTTTGCAAATGCACAGGTCGAATACTAGTAAAGTTGAAAACTCGAGTGATAATTATCGTTTTGCACATTAGAATAAAATAAAATTTGCGAAATACAAGTCTTTATTCTCGTTTCTCTCATTTGACCTTTGATCGATAACCTAATTTTTTTCTAATTTTCAACTCTCGACATTGTGACGGCTATTCAAGCAGTGCAAGAACCATTGAGTTGGGCCAAAATAATTTTCTAAAGATGTAGAGGGTAGTTATGCGGTTGTTACACATTGGATCCAAGAAAGTTATACTAAGGAAGCTATTGAAATTATTTATTATAGATAGAACTGTCATTTAGTGCTACTGAGAAATTCGAATTCAAGGGGGCGATTGTTTATAGTTTCAACAGTAAAAAATTCTATCAAAACTCAAATTTAACTCAACTTTAACCCAACCTCACTACCTCTCATATTATCAATATAATTAACTAATATCAATCAATCATTTTTATACATCACATCAACTTTAATTCACTATTCATTCACTCACATAATTTTAACTAACCATCACTTCCAATCATTTTCTCCTACTTTACATCAAATCAACTTTAATTATTTTATTTAAATATTATTTTAATACATCCACTAACAACTTGTCATTCTATTTATTTCAAAGTTAACTATAGTTAAAAACAAACCAAATAAAAATTAGTTGAATTCATAAGCAATCACACTCGAGATTCATTTTGTTGTTGTGTCAAAGTGAAAAATTCCTTGTCGAATAGTGTGTTAAAAACTTTTCTATGCATGCATAATACCAGAAAAGAATATTTGAAAAATAAACTTATAAATCATTGTGTTAGTTTCACCACTAACATATATTATACGGTAATGACTGAACATTTCATTGATAGTAATTGGCATATGTGATATGTACAATAGGGTGTTGAATTTCTATGATACCTAATAATCATGGTATTGTATAGGGAAGAATTTAAAAAAAAAAAAAAAAATGTTTACAGGATTGGACCTATCAAAAAGATTTTAACAATGACATTTAACCGATTGTCCCATTTTCAAAACCACTAGGCATTCAATTTTTGTTGACAAATGCATTTGCAAATAAAGTGGCAATAGATTACATGACGAGGATGGTTGGTTTGCATTATTTAATTATATGAATAATATTAAAGATAGTGGGGTTTGGTTAAAATTGAGTTAGATTTTGAGTTGAAATAAAAGTGAATAAATTATTTTATAAACAATCACCCCTAAGCATTGTGAGATACAATTTATTTTTGGAGGAAAGATTTTGGTAGATTGAGGGCTTCTAAAGTATGTATGGAAAAAATAAGAACTTCAAAGTAGAAAAAGATGAGTGTTGGATGTGTCGACTTGGTGGAATTCCACTTAGATTGTGATCAGAGCATTCACAATGCTTTGGGTTCAACCGCAAAAAAATATATGTCACCTAAGAAATAGACTCAATCTAAAAAAATATATCCTCAAATGCAAATAAAAGTAGACTGAGTCATGCTGATGCTGCGGCCAGAAAAATCAACCGAGTCTACCCTTAAGCCAATTTTAGACCCAAGTAGAGACCTAGTCTCTTTGAGTATGATGATGAAAATGAATAAGAGGGTGTGGCCTCCAACTGATGATGATTGGGAAAAGTTGTCGCATTATGTTCTATAGTGACTGCAGGACATGTCTCAAAAGTGATCGAACACTGTCAAAATAGGAGGCACCCAATTTCCAAAAACACAGTATAATAAACAGCCAAATACCAGGGATCAATCAACACACAATCAACTCATGTAGAACAAAAA